GTTACTCTTCTTACGGTTATCTCTATAGATCCTAGCTCCTTATGGGGCCGAGGATTTAATTAATTCTATTAGTAATAGCGAACGAACGGTTTGCTTAAAGCTAGCTATAGTACTAATATGTTCTTTAGAGGGTAGTTAAAGTATTATAAATCGCTTTACTTTAGTGTTACGAGATAAGGGGTTCTTAAGTAGAGGGAAGTATTAAGGTATAGTAGTAAGAGAGTACGTCGAGTATCTTAAGCGAGACTAATCAATACTTAAACGTATAGGTATAATCGTTAACGAAGTTAACTATGAACTATAACTATAAGAAGTACTCTTTCTATATAGTCGTAGTATCTTAGTTTAATCTATATAACTCGTTACTTTATCCTATAGAGTATATAAAGTAATAGAGTATAGTTAATTTATATAATTTATTACTCTATTCTATAAAGTATATAGATTAATAAAGTAGTTACGTATTATTACGTAACGCTTAAGTAGGCTTCGCTAAACCTTCTTAGGTCTTAGAGTATCTTGACTAGTCATAACCTAGTTAAGATCGTTTCGTAATATAGTAATAAACTAGTAAGAACGAACTCTTATATTTTTTAACTATAGTTACGAAAATAGAAAAGAAAATTAATTATTCTTAAGATTACTTATTAGAGTAATATAGATAAAACTAAATCGAAAGATTCTCGCTAATATAATAAAAGAGATCTCGAAAGAATATAAAAACTTTATAAATCTCTTTAAGAAAAGAAAAGACTTAGTTATATTACTAAAGTATAAACTATAAGACTATAAAATATCGCTTAAAGATAAAAAAGTATCGAAGTATAATAAGTAGCTTCGATAACTCTTTAAGAAAGAAAAGAACTTTCTTAAGAACTATATCGAAAAACACGAGAATAAAGATTTTATTCGACTATCTAAATCTTCTATAGTATATAGAGTACTATTTATCTTAAAAAAGAATAGAAAGTTTCGAGTATATATTAACTATCGATTACTTAATACGATTATAAAAAAAATTAATATTTATAACTATATATCGATAAACTATAGAATAAATTATTAAGTATTAAATACTTTATTATAATTAATATATAAAATATTTATTATCGAGTATAGATAAAGAAAGGCGAAGAATAAAAGATAGCCTTTAAAATCTACTTAGAATTATATAAGTACTTAATTATACTCTTTAGATTAATTAATATATCGATTACTTTTTAAGAACTAATTAATAATACGCTAAGAGAATATCTCGACGATTTTATAATAATATATCTCGATAATATACTTATATTCTTAACTATATTTAAAGAATATATATAGTATATTTAAAAGATCTTAAAATAACTTAAATAAAAAAATCTATCTATAAAATTTAGTAAATATAAGTTTTATAAATACTATATATATTTTCTAGAATATATTATCTTAAATAAAAGTATCGAAATTAATTCGAAAAGAATTAAGTTTATTTAAAAATAGCTATAACTAATTAATATTATAAAGATATAAGTCTTTATTAAACTTATTAATTATAATCGAAAATTTATCGAAGAATTTTTAAGAGTCGCTATATTATTAATAAATCTTATAAAGAAGAAAACGAAGTTTCTATTCGAACTATAATATAAAGAAGTATTCGAGAAACTTAAAGAAGTTATTACTAATATCTTTATACTCGCGATATTTAATCTAAAGTATAAAACTAATATAGAAATAAATATATTAAATAAAGCTACTAGCGCTCGCCTTATATAAAAGAGTATTAACGAAAAATACTATACTATTATATATTACTTAAGAAAAATAACTAAATCGAAACTTAATTATAATATATATAATAAGAAGCTACTTACTATTATTAAAGTATTTAAGAAAAAAAGTATATTTAGAAGATATTAAGTACTTTACTTAAGTTTATACTAACTATAAAAACTTACTCTATTAAATAACGATAAAATAACTTAATAAATAATAAGTTCGATAAACTAAGATACTTATACTATTCGATTTTAGAATATACTATATTCGAGGAAAAGAGAACGCTATAGTAAATATACTTAACTATTAACTAAATTATATAAAGAATATCTAACTAAAATCTATAGCTATACTTAAGGAACGAGATAAAATCTTAATATATATAACGCCTTAAATAGAAATACTAATAGCTATAGATATTAAATTAATAATAAAATAAAAGAAAGTAGTTATTTAAAGTAAATATAATAATAGTCTATGTCGCGATATAGAGGACTCGCTTTCACGTCGATACGGTATGGCGCCGCTTTGAGGGCCTCGATCCGGTTTGGTATCGGCCCCTTCGAGGAAAGTGTGGCCGTTCCGGGTTTAGTGCTGACCGTTCGGGCCTCTCGCCGCTTTTCCTCCGACCGCGCTCGACCGCTTCTTTATAAAAGATCGTCGTCCCTCGCCGTTCTGTCGACTCTCTTCCTACGCTGACCCTCGCGCCCTTCGCTCGTCCTCGCCCCCGACCCTATACCGTTCCGAAAACGGGAAAGGTTATTAGCTAGGGGCTAGGATATTGCTTCGTAGTCGCGACGACCAAAAGTTACTCGACTTACCCACCCACCTAGTATTAATGCCGAGAAGTTAGCGTTAGGGGTTCAGAGCTTAGAAGCGCCCGTCTAATTCGAATCGATCCATCAGGGAAACGATCCGTTGGTTGACGGGCCTCTCTTCTTCTTCCCCGTCCCTCTACCTCATAGCGAGCAAGGTCCTGGACTCTATCGTGGCGCTTGTCGTCGTTCCTTAAGGGCCAAGCTCCTTCTTCTATCGCCCTATCTTTCAGCTAGCCCAGGGTCCTTGGGGGTCCTTGGGTGCCTGGACGCATATGCTCGAAACCTAGCAGAGAATGATGACCAGAGCTAGTATTCACGACTTGGACGTTTGACCGAATACCCTCTTCGGATTCCGCCTATGAACGGTCCCTTAAGCTTTAGACCTATTGATTCGATAACGCTCTTATAATTTATCCTCACTCTATCCTCGCTGTAGGTATCTACAGCATCACAATCGAAGACCGCAGGACCGACCTAGCACCGACCTATCTCTAGGAGAGCCGATCATTTAACTGTACCTCTCAGAAGCGTGCCGACTCCTCCTCATAGACCAACCTGACCTTCCGCACCCGTCCGGTTCAAGAAACTTCGGCTAGAACTTGCACCCGAGGAAGGGGGAAGGGGTGACATTGCAGGACCTCTCGACAAAGAGACTGCTGCAACGACGACAACGGCTAGGATTCACGGGACGCCTAATCGGGACTTACGGGCTGGCGCCAGTCAGGGCTCTAATAAGGGCCTAAATCACCCTTCCTTGCTCGACCTGGTTATTCGCCAAGTCTCAATCCAGAATCCCTGGCCACTAGTACACTGCCCCTATTTGGGTCCGCATGGCCTTCGGATGTGCGGTGCACTTAAGAACCATGCCCTTAGTTAGGACCCGGGAGCATGTCAGCCGCTCTAGAGGATCCGAAGATTTTCGTAGCGGTCGGCGTGTAGTGCCTTTCGGCCCGGCTATCGAACGACATGGTGAAACACCGCGAGACACCGCCCCATGGGTGAGGAGGACGATCAGCTGAATTTGCTCGAGGGTAGGATCTCTATAAGTTTCCGACCGTGTATTCTACCTGTCATTATGGATCGCTGTACGTAATCGGTCTTGAGAGACCTTGGTTACGTGTTTTCTGGACGATCCTTCTGGGATATTTAGGAGCCTTTCACCACCGTCACAGCCCCTTCGACGTACGGAGCACGCGGTAGGGGAAAGCTGACGACGGCAGATTGATGGTTTTGGACCCACCCAGGGGTGGCATGGGCGGTGTATGACTATAGGGCGAGATTTGCGTCCTCGCATTCGGCTTTCAGGTGCGAGGCCTTCATCTCCTGATTCGTCGCGGGATTCGAAGTCCCTTCTCAATCTACAATCCAGCAACGCAACTCTTTTAAAGCATCCGGCGCCCCCAAAGCCTATATTAGGAAGCTATTCCAATGTTTCCTGTCGGGACCGTCTCTCCTTCACGCTCCAAAGTAAGTCCCCTAGCCTCGAGGACACGCAAATCTCTGTACACCTCCAATTTTCCACGCGCCCTCCGTATGGACAACGTCATCTTCGAGGACCCTTCTAAAGCTCGGTTTCGCTCTAAGCGACATGTGCGTGCCGCACCGGCCAGGCCCGGGGCTTCCTCCATCCGAGAATACGCTCACAACGTCGAGCCGCAGACCGTAACACCGGTGTCTGAAACGCGGCTTTAGGAACACTCCTATACGACTTCTGTAGGCTACTCTGGTAAGCCTGAACTGCTCCGTATCACTCTGGTTATATCGACGATGAGTTCACTAATAGCCTAACTCTAGAGCCGATAAGCTTAGAGAGCCGATACGCAGAAACCTTAGTTCATGAAACCTAGCGCACCTCTCTACACGACGTCCAGGTTAATGGGAGCGCCTCAGGAGCTACATCCCTACACGACGACTTCTCTCTTGCTCAGACTGACGACGGTGCTCTCGCTGAAGGTCTCGACGACGATTTATACAGTCTCTTTTCTAGTGCATCCCCGGATTTGGAGCCCTCACGACCCTCTATATCCGACGAAAATCCTAACGGCCTTACCCAGAACAAAATATCGCAGGGCATAGAGACTCGCGACGACTTTGTCATCAATTCACTAGGCGAGAGTTTTCCCGGTACCGGAAGCCCTAGCCTATGGACCGATCTTGACGCTATTGACCCTACTACCTAGTTAAATAGCCCTTAGCTAAAGCTGACAGCGGTACCGTCTGCGTAGCGATGCTGCCCACTATCCTCGTGTTATAAACCCTTGGCTGAGGTGATGGTTCCTTCTTATCGCCCCTCTGCCCAAGCCGAGCGGAGTGTGAGTGCCCCTAGCGCTCATTTTGCGAACGCTGCAGAAACACCGAACGGAGTCGGCCAACGGATGGCATCTCCGCGGCCTGGCGGGCATGTTGTTGGACATCTCAATGGCCGTAAACGACGATACGAAAGTGAATCTGGTTTGTACTCCCAAGGTTCTTATCGACAACGTGTGGAAGGTGGATCTAACAAGACACCGTCCCACTCCCATCGAATATAGGCGGAAGGCTCTGTTCCTCGAAATCATCGAACGGAAAGTCAGTTTTATAAGCCAGACTTGGGCTAGGGAACTCTGCCATTAGTTGAGCCATCTAATCTCGCTCACGGAGCGGAGAGCGAGCAGACCCTCGCCGATCGCGGCTCTAGTCTAGACTGCGAAGACAAAACTGTACCTGGCCTAACATTGGGCGAGTATTCCGCGAACCTTGCTACGCCGTTGAATGTCGGCGAATCTAGGAACAGCCCCCGTGAACAGGGGCAGAACCAAGGAGGGTTAGAAAGTATAAGCGTCCAACCCGTGACACCCGCCGATGCTGCCTTCATAACCGCCATTATCGCTACTCCAGCCGACCTTCAGAACGTCTTCCACTCCCCTAGGGCTTGGGCACTTGAAAACGGTTTCCAACCGGCTAGCCTGGCCAATATCTCGATTAAACCGCTTTCGCCCGACCGTTATTGGCTCCTGACGGCTACGATATCGCGACGTTCTAGTGGGGTGGATGATCTAAGACGATATCGCGCTGGGAGGAGAGGGAGACAGTCGCCCGATCTAGACGCGAGCAGCGACTATCGTCCGAGCGAAGGTGAAACGGTTTTGCGGCGAACGAAGCGAGGTCAGTGGACGGCAGAAGAGGATGATAACTTGACACGGTGGCGGCGTCTGGGCAAGTCTTGGCCGTGGATCTTCGCTCGGTTTCCCGAACGTTCTGAAGCTGCCGTGCGATCGCGTTGGTTCGTGGTCCTGGCACCACGGAAGTAATTCGGCGCAGGGTGCGATCCTCGATTAACCAGTTCTAGAAATTTGCGACATTCGCCCTACGTTTTTGATATAGCCTACGGAATAAGACCTTTGCTGTAGCCTAGATTTGCGCGCGACTTCTGGCACAATGTAGCGATGTCGATCGCCAAGGTAATGGTCAGAGCAGGAAGCCAAGCCAGCAACGGAGGATGGAAGAAGAGAGTGTAAATGCTCTACCTGGCGTAAAGCCTAACTTCGTAAAGGACACTGCTCATGTCCGGATAAATAAACTCTTCGTGAGTGATCAGGATGTCACATGATGAATTGCGTAGTAAGAGTCTTCCGACGCCTACCTTTCACGATTGCTGATTCCGCCGTCCCCGGGATCTCGACCTGCAAGCTACGAGGCCTCGAGTTTCAGCTGCACTTTCAGCCTGATCGAGCACTTCTCAATGTCCTTCTCCTCAAACCATCTCTAATGCTCTACTATGGTTTCGACTTAAAATCTTGTATACGTTAACATGAGCCGCTGGCAGGAAATACATTCGTTAGTCTTGGCGGGCGCATTCACGGTCGCTGATACTGGCGCATCCTGGGAAACGTCTCTCTTAGAACCGCAAACCGAAATTCTCCCACGATCGTCACGTCATCCAAAAGTTGAGACTTTTCTTGGTCGAAGGCAGCCAACGTCGCGAAGTCGGTATGTCTGGCATCGGCGAGGCGAGCCTCGTTCTCGGCCTCATTTCGTCGATCATTACGATTAATGAATCCGAGCTTTCTTCACGCTGATCAAGGGAAGCTGTCGCAGGTAGAGGCGATGTATCAGCGGGTATTACAAGGTAACGAGAAGGGCCTCGGTATGGACGACGCCTTGACGCTCGACACGGTCAATAATCTAGGCCTCCTCTATCGGAATCAAGGAAAGCTGGCACAGGCAGAGGCGATGTACCAGCGAGCACTGCACGGCTTCGAGAAAGCGCTCGGCAAGGAGCACACCACGACGCTCGACACTGTCAACAATCTGGGCACCCTCTTCGATGATCAAGGAAAGCTGGAGCAGGCAGAGGCAATGTACCGGCCGGCATGGCAAGGCTACGAGAAGGCTTTAGGTGAAGACCTTGTCGATCAATACGTGCGTGCGCTCAACACTTGTGAAAATCTCGCTCACTTCCTGGTCCTGCAAGGTCAGCCTGTGGAGGTGACAGAGCTGTTTCAACGAGCACTGGCGGGACTGAAGAAGGTTTGGGGTTCTTCACACGAGCGATGTCGACACCTTGAGAGTGCTATAACATCAATAAATCCCCAACAAGGTATGAACGTTCTTCTCGTTCAGGTTTTGGAATTGATACAGCAGCGGCGGGTGCGTACCTTGAACCTCAATTTCCGCACGGCGTACGTCTTACCTGAGTATCACGTGTCATCTCTGTTTTGTTTTCTTGGATTTTGCCTGTACGCTTACTTGGCTAACAGAATCAACAACGTCTGACGATATGCTGTCTGTCATACTGTCAATCCTCCTGACAATCCCAGTCCGTCATGACCGACAGTGGACACTTTGGGACAGTTATGTTCGAAGTTGTCACCGGGCAGCACTACAAATTTGACCTCCTCTAAGACTGGAAATCTGGAGAACCTTATTCTTGGCCAAGCAGAGGGACTCTACCTTCAACAGATAGCGTATGGCTAAGTCACATTATCGGAGCCTGTTGGACCGAACGGTCCTTTGCGTCCGCAGACGACCTCGCAGCAGCATTGGCCATCGAGCGTACCAATCCGGAAGCTACAACGGAATCTGCTTCCTCCATGGCGGCATAACACTGTTTTTCCAGAATCTTCGTCATCAAAATTGGTTCGGTCTTTTCTATGGGATTCGCGATCTGCAGGGAGAGGATTTCGAGACTCACTGGATCTTTCTCCCATGTGCGAACAAAGATGCGCACACAGAGTTTAGTTCTAGCACCGGCTGCCCCACGGAAAGAGTAGGGCATCAAGACAAGTCACACGTCATTGTTAGCTTACACGTCTAAGCTAATCGTTGTTCCCCACCTGACCCTACACTGTGTCCGATCCATCTAGGCTACACCCTTGATCCTACGAGAGATTCTTGGCCTACGGGTCAAGTCCTTTCGGCTGTGGATAGCTCCGCCAGCCCAACAACAAAAATTTGGATCCCCAACAATGTTCGGGAGATGAGAATGTGGCCTCCGGCAGCGAAGGTGATGGGTGGTTGCCGGCGACGGGCAATAGCCAGAGTAACACCATCGAAACGAGGTTTCGTTTGACAATCCCACCTTTCTGTCTCCAGATGGTCTCCTGTCATGTGAAAACCGAGTCTCATCACTTCTGGCTTTCTTAGAGGTCGCCTTCCGACATTTGGGTCACATCGGAAGTTTCTGGTGTCATTTCAAAGGGGTTCAAGAGATTCAGCTCCCCGTAACTGATGGCTTGTGACTCCGAGTTTTCAGAGGAGTCTATAACCAGAGCCAGGGGTCGCTTCTGAGAGGGTGGCTCGTCTCATTCGTTTTCTCGTTTCCGCTTCCGCTTCCGAGGCTCTGGTGGTGGAAGGGGAGGAGATGGCTGTGCACCCTCACGAGTCAATTTTCTATTAGAGGAAAGGGTTGGCCGGCTTACATGAAGATGTTCAACGTCGCTGCCTGGAGATGGTAGAGCCTGTTAGCGGGATGTTGATAGAGTCTCAGTCATCTCAGTCAACCGGTGAAAACGCGCGCTCCGTCGAAGAGCATTTTGTTGTCGCTTCTTGACGCTATAAGGGCGTTTCGACGAGATGAGGAGGTATAAACACTTCCCCATGCTATATCCGCCGAGGCTAGAATTTATTTATCTCTTGGGCGTCTGTCTCTTTGATTTCTTCTATCGATGGTGGTGCTTCCAGATGAAGAAGCTTGTATCCCACAGGCGAGTGTCTGTATTTCGATCGCGTGATCATGAAATGGAGGCTTGGGTTGGAATGTCGGCTTCTCGCCTGGCTGATTCCATTCGGTGGCACAGAGTCCCTTTGTCTCTTTTGGTTCAGTGTGGGAACTTTTCCACCTTTTTGGGGCTCTGGAGCTGCGACACATTTTGCTTCGCTCTTCTTTTTGCTCTTCTGTAGTCTCTGCTCGGGCGTTGCAGATCGACTCGGTGTTGGCGATATCGATTTCGCGTACTGTCGCCAGGAGAGTCGATTCGAGGAAAGCTGTTTGTCCGGGGTGAGGCTTCGTTGCCCGGCGGAAGGTATGGATATCCTGCTTGCTGTTGCAAACCTTACTCGATAGTACCGTATATTCTCCTCTCCGTACTCGCTGAGTTAAGCCGCTCAGCATTATCTCCATCTGAATTGTTGTGGTCGAGGGATGCAACAAAAACCCGCAGGACAAATATCCGCCCAAAATAGACTAGGCCCTCGAGGGTAAGGTGCCCCGAGGTCTAGGGAAAGCTTGCTCGGCGCGTCATGGGGCCTCTGATGTCCACGGGGAAACATCGTTTGGCTGGCGTTGAGGCATGTCCACACAGGTGGTAACGCTCTTTTTCTGACGTTCTGAAATCCTTAAGCGCTACAAGGAGCCGTCGCTGCTATCCCATTTATCCCTGCGAACCAGTTACTCCCCTCATCTTCGAGGTCTCCCTAACAAGGTGATTGTCGGGTATGGCCGCCGCGCAATACATTATGTCGGGATCGATCCTATCGATTTTTCGACTGCGGTAACACGGTAGCCAAACCTCAGCCACAAATGGAGATGCCGCCACGAAGCCCCGTAACCTTCGACGAAGTCATGTTCCTACGTAAGTATATTGAGCAGGTTATCGGTTCGCTTGGGCCAGAAATCCGGCAATGTGTTGAGGAGCTGGGCATTTCCAGCGAACGGGTCATCATCGCCCGCGACCTCCTCTTTGAAGAAAACTCCGGGCTGACTAGGCAGAAAAATGCCAATAATATTCGAGCATCAAGGAAGTCGATGGTCATGGGAAAGGGAAGATAATGAGCTATGAGGATATCGAAGAAGCAATCAGGAAGCGTGAAGGGAAGGAGACTGCTAAAAGAAGCGGTCGCCAGCGTAAGGCGAAAAATCCAGGGCCGACGCAAGGCAGAAGTCACGCGAAGAGGAGATTGAATGGCCCAGAGAGAGCTGTGCCGGTGAGGAATTGGAGGACCTTATGTCTGTCTTATGACTTCGGCACCTTATGGGGTGTGCAATTCGTCATCAATTGTAGACTTTTATTATTGCTGACTTGTGACTGTGTTGATCGTATGTCGCAATACAGTACGGAGTACAATACAGTACGGAGTACAATACAGTACGGAGTACAATACGTACTGCGGCATTCCCTAATATTTTTGGAAGGCTGTGGCCTTGAACACCGAGTGTCGCTGGAACGCTGCGATAACCAATTATGTTTAGCATAGCCACAATTACGCGTTGTCGCCTCATCTCTGCCCAGCCCTTCACACCTACGATTCAGCCGCAGTCCCAACACACCAGGCACATTGTATTGTAGCAGGCAACCCTTCCACAAGATGCCCCTGCATATTACTACCACAACTTGTGGGGTTGTGATGTTCTGCGATCGGGACCCCTTTGCGTCTTCTGACCAATTTTTGGTGGCAGGATGGAAAGGTTGAGGCGGTTAGTACATCGACGGCAAGGTACTCCCTCGACTGCTGCTGCTCCCTCGACTGCTGCTGCTCCCTCGACTGCTGCTGCTCCCTCGACTGCTGCTGCTCCCTCGACTGCTGCTGCTCCCTCGACTGCTGCTGCTCGCTCGACTGCTGCTCACCCGACATCTCCACCACCGAATGCTTCTATCAGCACCCTTCCTAAATCGAGTCCTACCCTTCCTTGGTCCTCAGAATCGTTATGGAGAGATGCATACGAAACGCTGAAACAACGAGAACCTCGACTGGTGCAACCTTTTGAACAGCTCTCTGCTACTGGCATCACTTCAGTACATCAAATACATTCTGTTGTTCAAGCAAGATTGGACAGACGAGAAGACCGCCAGTGGATTGTCGCTATTGCTGGCAAGCCTGTTAAAGTCCGAGAACATGGAGAACGCCTTGTTAAGTTCATTCTATGGAGCAAGGACATTGTGGCCAGCGCTGTTAGTACTCAACCATATATGGCGCTAGCGTGGTCGGGCATCACAATGTTGTTACCGGTACAGTACGTCATGGCATATTATGTGTGTCGCTGACGAGTTCAGTTGGCCTTAGCCTCAGGTGAAGAGAGCGATGCTATGATAGAAGTGCTTGAACACATCGCTTCGTTGATAAGGCTGTACGATATACGGACTCGTTTACTCAGTGGAACTACCGCGGACGAATACCGCAGTGCAGTTACACAGCTATACTCTCATATTCTCGAATATCAAGCGTCCATGGTCTGTCACTTATCTCATAATAGTGTAGTGCGCAGTATACACAGTATCAGTCGAGTTGGTCAGTGGATGGATTCTCTGAAGAAGGTTGACAATGCCGATTAGTACTGTCAGAAGCATGAAGCTTTGTTGAACAAAGAGGATGAAAGAGCACAGTGGGAGCAACAAACCAGCACCATGGAGAAGTCTGGCAAGATCCAACAACAGATCCTCGACGCCGTGCGCGATGTCCTTGCCACTCGCGCTGCCGACAGGGAGGACGATCTTCGACGAGACATACTTCATTGTCTGGCTGCCGATTACGCTGGACAGAAAATTTCAATCCGAGACGTGTGCCCGGCACCTGTCGATGGTTCCTTGATGATCCTCGTTTCCATCGATGGCGCGATTCTAGAGAACCAAGCCTGCTTTGGCTCTCGACCGGCCCCGGCTGTGGCAAGTCAGTCTTGTCGCGGGCTTTGATCGATGAAATGCTGCTCACCACGCAGTTGATGACATCGACAGTGTACTATTTCTTTTTCAAAGATGGCCTCGAGCGGCGACAACGGGGAGAGGACGCATTATGTGGTATCCTCCACCAGCTGTATTCGCAAAATCTGGCATCGGGCTTGATTAGCCACGCGTACCAGCCTTTCAAGTCAAATGGACCCGGACTATGTTCAATGTTCTATCCTCTGTGGAACCTACTCATGACAACAGCCGGTGATACATCGTCAGGAGAAGTAATCTGTCTCTTGAATGCTTTGGATGAATGTGAAGCGGATGCCAGACAGTAATTGCTCGATCAGCTCCGTCAGTTCTATAATGACACCAAACTGAGTGGTCCTAAGGCACCTCGAATCAAATTCCTCATCACGAGTCGTCCAAATTACGATAATAACGGAAAGTTTCCTCTTCTAGACCCCCTGGTCAACTTCATTGAATTTGCAGGAGACGACCGATCCGACCTTATCAGCCAAGAGATCAATCTTGTTATCGACCAGCGCATACCAGAAGTGGTTCCCCGACTCGACTTTGCATCTCGTTGCCTCCTTTCAAATCATTTGAAGGGAATGCAGCATCGGACATATCTGTGGCTGCATTTGGTAATGGAGGAGATTCGACTTCGATTTCCCAGTCATGCAACAGTGAAACGGATTGAGACTCTGCTACAGCAACTTCCCACATCTGTCGCCGAAGCATACGAAAACATCCTCGATCGAAGTCTTGACCCACAAGCTGCTCGCATTATCTTGCAGATCGTTCTGGCGGCCACACGTCCTCTGACGGTTGACGAGATGGCCGTCGCAGTAGCGATAGCAAGAACGAAGGGCGTTCGGTCATATGAAGATCTTGATCTCGACCCTGAAGATATCCGAAAGTCTAATCTTCGGAATGTATGCGGATTCTTTATCAGCATCAGTGATTCCAAGGTATCTCTCATTCACCAGACCGCCCGTGACTTTCTCCTCAGATCAAACATAAAGAATGGCACCGACAGTACGTCGTCCGTTTCGAGGAAGAAATGGCACCGTTCTCTGGACTTAGTCTCAGCTGAACATACTGTTGCCCAAATTTGCATCGCACTACTTCTTTTCGATGTTTTTCAAACGAGAATGCCGTGGTCGGATTACCATGAGGAAAGATACCAGTGGCAAGACCTATACCAAAACCACATTTCCAGTTATCCACTGCTCAACTATGCTTCTACAAGATGGCCTGAGCATTATCGGGCGTCCCAGCACATGTCAGTGGATGGAGAGATTGGTTCAGTTCTGTCAATCTGTGATGTTCGTCAGAGCTACTTTCAGACGTGGTTTCCTGTTTACTGGTACTCAGCAAAGTGGGGAAATAGGCCTTGGGTGACTACTCTGGTCGTTGCAAGTACCTTTGGTCTCACCGCGGTAGTGAAAAAAATCCTCGTTCTTGCAACTCAGGGCGAACGCGATGAGGAGGCAGCTCGTCGGGCCATGATGTTAGGGGACTTGATTGACGAACCAAGTCAATACTACGGCAATGCGCTGCAAGCAGCGTCCATGGTAGGCCACGTGGAGGTGGTCAAGCTGCTCGTGGACTCGGGCGCCGAGGTGAACGCCCAGGGTGGATACTACGGCAATGCGTTGCAAGCAGCGTTAGTCCGAGGCCACGTCGAGGTGGTCAAGCTGCTCATGGACTCGGGCGCCGAAGTGAACGCGCGAGGTGGAGAGTACGGCAATGCGTTGCATGCAGCGTCCATGGGAGGCCACGTCGACGTGGTGAAGCTGCTCGTAGACTCGGGCGCCGAAGTGAACGCGCGAGGTGGATTCTACGGCAATGCGCTGCAAGCAGCGTCATGGGGAGGCCACGTCGAGGTGGTCAAGCTGCGCTTGGACTCGGGCGCCGAGGTGAACGCGCAGGGTGGATTCTACGGCAATGCGTTGCAAGCAGCGTCCATGGAAGGCGACCTCGAGGTGGTCAAGCTGCTGGTGGACAATGGCGCCGTCAATAGCCAAACTTAAGTGGAATTTGCGGTCCAAATTACTCTAGGCGAATGTCACTCTCAATCACTTGTAGAGCCAACCCATTTCTCCCTTCCATGAGATACCATCCGTCTCTGATTTTGGCACGCCCAAAGCGGAGATGTGGGCGCTCGCAACCCATTTTTCCATGATGTAGTTAAAAGTGGCATGTCGTACGGTTAGTATATAATATCCGAGCTCATAGGTGTAGATGGTGATGTACATGTCGATGTTCTTGTTGCACATTTCCGTGAAGCCCACATTTCGGTTACACCCCGCAGACGTTACTAGAATGAGATAAACTGCGAGAGGCATATTACGTATCTATAGGCTATATATGATGACGTAGGATCTTTAGCATGCAAGACTCACAAGTATACGCCTCATCAGAAGGTGATCTACCGAGTGACCAATGAGTTCGAGCCATTTTATCATGTCCTCAGAGTCTCGCATTTCGTCTATACTCCTCCTAGCACCTGCCTTCATTCCGTTAAGATACCGTAGTGCTAATTGTTTCACTTGAGCAAAGAAATCTTGAATAAATCTCCACACTCACCTCATAGCTCCTCTCCATCCTGAAATAAGCAATGATGGATGATATATCAGATTAAGATAGCCACAGATGAGACAAGAACGGTAGGCAACGGAGTGTAATGATCGAGTGAAGTCAGTGATAGCTTGGGCGGGGCCAAAAACCCTTCCCCAGCAATTAATTTCAAATCGAAGATATACTAAAGTGATCGCCATAGATTTGGAGTTTGGAATGCCTTGAAGTTTGCTGTGGATTAGTTTGCGTAACATCGCCGGGCACCGCCAATCATGTGATCAAGCCCTAACGACGGGTGGACCACTGCTGCCCCTCTTTGAGACCCTGCTGACCTACTCTGACCTGCGATGCTGTACATGCTTCGCTTTTGGGACGGCATCAACATACATGTATTGCATGATGCTACGGAGATAAGGCAAAGGTATGCGCACATCGTTTACTTACAGAACAAGGAGCATCGATGGCCTGCAAGAACGGATGTCTTGACCTCGTTGGCCTTTTCCTTCAAAATGCGCTCTTTCAAGGTGGTGAGGGGTAGAAGGATATTTCGACGAAGTCTCCATTCATACTTCGCTACTGTAAATCTATTTACTAAAGACTGACTCGCGATGTCAGGCAATCCTGCGGCAGCGCATACGACATGAACTTTTCACTGCTGACCAATTGAATGATTGAGTGATTGGAGCCTTTCTCTCGTATTTGGAAGACTAGGATTAATGCACCTCGCTGCTCTCCTCAAAATGGGTTTGCCCACGGATGATATGAGCAGGACTTGCAGACCCTATAGTGCACCCCATCGCATTTCCCTGCCACCTGGCAACGTTTCCACTCGATCCGACAACCATGTTGCGCCTCTGGGGCTTTGCAAGGGAATCGCGACGTTGTTTTAGCAGAGCTGTCCGCGTCGCATGGACTGCCACGGAGCATTCATGCATCGGCCGCCTCACGGAACCTGCCTTTCATGTCCATTGTTCCGCCAATGAGGGGGTACCACGTAGTACGTCTCTATATATCGTGAGGGCGCTTGAAAACGGTCTTTATTGGTCCGATCATCCAGCCACAAAAGTAGCGCTACCAAGGTCCTTGCCCAGTACTCAGACCTGTGTGCACGTCTGGGCCCTGGTAAGTAGCGTATTGTTGTCACAACGTTACCCACCCACGTCTATCACATCCTAACGCACAACGAAGGATGCAAAAAGAGAGAGGCATATCGTCCCAGCTACGAGATGCGGGAACCAGAGGATTAAGCTGAAATATGAATATCCCGCTCGCAAGATGAAAGCTCCGACGACCCACTGAAATTTCAGGCCTCGAACCGCCCTCGCTCAGTTCCACCTGCTGCAAGGCCTCTCTTATCAATCAATGTTCACTACGAGTGCTTCGTCCAAGAGTGCTGCATCCACGCGCACTTCAACCGGTTCCACGCGTCCTTTTTCTACGCTTTGTAAACTTCATCTTTCAGCTGAGAGAAGTCTCTCGCACGTTTGTTGGTCCGACTGAGATCAACCACAATGGCTGTTTGCGATAAATGGGAGGGTTGAGAAGCTCAGCTACTGGGGTTAACGGAGCGTCTGAGGGGCGACAGTCGCGACACTGGTGTGGTGGCCGAGAAACTGTCGCGGCGGCGCGCCTACGACCACTTGGGCCCAGCTTTGTGTCATGTTGACTTGTTCGTTCGTGCTATTCTTGATCAGTTCCATCTTACGTTGATTCTGCGCCTCCAACGCCACAATACGGTCCACATCTTTTTGGCATGTCTTTAACAATGCCTCGATCTTATGCTCGTACGCTCTTGGGTGGCCTTTCACTTTCGTCTCGTAGCTCATTACTATGCTTCGGACCAGTTGTAAGATCTGGGCCATAGCTAGGGTGGGCGTCCCGGTTTGGACTTGCGCCTGTCTTTCACCAGCCGATCACCCCAAAATTTCGTCTGTCGTCCATGTTCCGTGTTCTCGCCATCCACGCCTATGTAGCCGTGAGTTCCTTCATCGACCTCGCGCGCGTTGTGTTGGCTTCTTGGGCCGTAAGGATCGTCGTGGAATTTGCGGAGTTGACGCGTCACGCGCACACGAGCGCGGTGGACTCGGAGTAGTTGGAGTTGCTGTCGATTTGCATCACTACACCGTCGGTGGCAGAAGAGAAGTGAAAAGGAGAGCTTGGAGCCTCCCAATCCAAAGCGAGACCTTCTATTGTCTCCATCTGCACCAGTTCGTTCCTTGGTCTGCCTAAACAACTAGATGCAGCCGATAATAGGAACCGCTACTCTGTGGAGTGGTAAACACGTGACTTGCACGTTCCACTGGAGTGTATATTACGTGGTTAACGAACAGGGATACGCGCCAAGATATAAGGTTGGACGGGCTTCTAGCAATGTACTGTAGCTATTTTTAGCCCCACTAACATCAAATCCGAAATTAGACCCTTTAGTGTCAAACACAGGCTGTTACGGAGTATTTCGAAGGCTATTCTCTGCAAGCCGTCCTTCTACTCTTCTTACTCTCACGTGTCAGAAATATCTCACCTTCTATATGTTAGAAACAGATCACCTTAACGTTTCAAAGAACCCTTCCATTCCACGATGATTCAATCGAATATTTGTCAAAGCCACCATTTTCTTTGCAAGGGTCTACGACATTTCCTCCTTACCGCGCTAGAGTCGATAATACTACACGAGTACGCGAGTCTCGAACATAATAGTACGTAGCTTTCTCAAAAATTCCTCGACTCTATAGTATATATTTAGGCTATCTATAAGGATGTCCAGGTCCTCCTACGATCTCTCCCTATCGAATCTCCCTAAGTTTCAGATAAACAAGCTACGCGATCGCCACTTAACAGCAGCACGAGCATAGACCTAAATGACGAGCCTATATTAGCTTAATCCTAGTCTCGGCCTAACCGATTGGAAGAAGACTTGTCACCAGGAGATTGCGGTCATGATGGATATCACGAGTCTAGGCCCTCTATAGGCTATCTAGTCACCTATACCGTAATCCATTAGGCCGCCGGAGTCCTTTATCTGTATCTACCTTCCACTATAGCTGGGTTAGATATAACGGGCGAAGTCGAAGTCGACGCGTACCCGACCGTGGAGAATATGTTGACGTAGAGTGGTAGTGAGACGTTACCGGCACCGAGCGAGCCGCGCCCGTCAACGTGTGAGGCACTTCAGACTAGAGATGATCTACCTCAAGGTAGGACCGGAGTTGCACAATCTATTGACTTAGCACCGCGAGTATCACCTACACCAGAGGACGGATTCTCCACTACCTCGGGCGATTCTCCCTCCGAAGTTATTCCGTTCCGACGAAGAAGACGGTTTTATAGTAAATGTCCGTGATTTCGCGTGGATCTATATTTTCAAGATCGTGCTGGTTTCTCCGCAGAGTATAGTGTTCTTGCGTTAAGCCCGCTTTATCCTCCTAGGGATGCTCGGCAATGATTCTTAGTAAGGGTCGATATACTCTTTTATTTATGGTCTATAGTGTCGAAAGTCGTGAATATTCGTAGAGTCTGGGTAAGAGTAGAGGTAATCGAAGTCGTTAGTATCCGTGATATTCTATATAATAGCCCCGACGATCTGTTAATAACCCGGTCTAACGTGCTTGGGATTAGAGGTATTATCTTTGGTTCTCAGGAAATACCGCGCGTATATACTATAGTCGCGGAGTTGACTCGTTCGGAGTATTCGAAACCAGGCACTTCGGGATAGGCTAACGCCGCTTCTGGGCTTTAGAGTCTCTGATAGTTTGCGCTGCTGTATAGCATGGAGTACGATCGGATCTGGCTGGATATTACGCAGTTTCTACACCAAAAGTTCCTTGGCTTCCGTTTGAATGTGCAAGAAATGGCGTCGAATCGCCGTCTTGTATACCGGTCGAAACGAGTTAGGGCGGAGATATAGAAGGCAGCAGAGCTCTGTATTTTAGCGCGAAGGTCTAAATTATTACGTAGGATCGTATCGGGCAGCACCTCAGGATCGCCACTTGATGGGGTTGAAGGATCTGCATCCGTAACATGCCGCAGAGTTCAGCATAGGTATCGAGGATATCTGCCCCAAGGGCCACACAATGGTTACTCACAAAAGAATTAGAAAACCCGGGACCGAGTCAGAGTTACTGTAATGCCATCATTATGCTCGAGAATCTTAATACTTCCTTTCCTGTCGTATTGTACTTTTCTGTCCAGATGACTTTTTCGCGGATGGACTCCCGCCGGGAAACAAAAGTGATTGTGCGGGATGGGTCCTAAATTAAGATTAGTAACAGGTTGAAAGGTCAACATGAAGAACAAGAGCACTTCGGCGATGGTGCTCCGCTACTCACTTCTCACCTTATCGAGACTGAACGTTAGTTTCATTGGCAAGGAATCGTGAATCGAGATAAATGAAGAATGATTGGCGGGAGCCTCTCTTCGGAGTACTTTGAGCAGATATTGGCCCGCGCTGTTTCTCGCGCAAGTCCAGCTCCGCAGTAAAGGTTCTTGCACTGGTTAACCAGTCCTCAATGGCATGATTAAACGTCTTCCCCATGTCCCGAGAAAATGCAACCCCAACTACGATGGCCGAACTTCTCTTACTGGCCGATATCACCCTCCAAACTTGGACATGCATATACGAGAAAGCTCGGACGGCACGTCGTAGGCTCTCGATGACTGAGCTCGATGTCGAGGCGGGATGGCATCTGTTTCAGCGGAGTGCTGGAGACCGAAGGAAGTGGAAGCGCGACGGGATCGTCAGGCTGTAGATGCGTGGTCATGAGAACGTTGTGCTGGAGCAGGCTTCGGTGGCTTAACCGACGTCACCTCGACCAGTCGGGCAAAAGCTCTGCATTCGCAGGCAAGCGGCGACATGTATATGGCGCGATCATACGCGTAGAAGACAGGTCCAGGTTGCTTCCAGTGCTTGAACTAGGTCATATGAGAGGCAGGTACCGCAGTAATCAAAGAGGTCTGCTCACAATTTTCAAAGCGTATTTGGCTCCTTTGATATCTACCAGAATCACCACACCGTGTACTCCTCTACCGATTGGAGACGGGTTGTGGATGTCTTCTTCATCGTTGACGAATCGCCGCAGTTTCGGTTCGTCAACTTCCGTCATCTGGTGTGAAGGGCACAACGGCTCTGTTGAGAGATATGTGCCAATGATATCCTCTCCCATGAGCTCAGCATGTTTTGCGTTCTTTGTGAGTTCTTTCCTGAAGGTATCTGGACCGAATCTTCAACACTTCCCAAGGTGCATGCACGCCGATCTCAGCTTGCTTAAAGGTTGCTCATCATCGGCCGTTTGGCCTCTCCAAGTTTATAGTAGTGGCAGAGCAGTGCTACGTCGCGTATTTTGGAAGCCTCGATGTTGTAAGTTACGCGACTATGTGTTGCTCACTCCCGGACCTCTCCATTACAGAGACATCAAAATAATTACTCTGAGCAATTGTCGACCATGAAGCTGAACATCCATACCTTCCGAGATCGATCGCCGATACCTATCATTTTCGCCGGTACAGCTGAACATGACGGCCGGTATCCTGAGGGTAGCCACACGATGTTCTCCGAGTTATATGTTATCCACCGCTCCATCCGAACTCAATCCCCCACCTTGATATACTAGGCCTTGAGGCTTTATTACATTGTGGTTCGCATGTGAAGCCGATAAAGAAGTAATGGCAATGGTACCGTTTTCAGTATGAAGAGATGAGCTAGTAACATCGAAGGATATGCTGTAGAGAGCCTTCCCAACCTCGAGCGTGTGTAGACAGGTGCCGCTGCCGCTGCCCGCATCCCAGATCTTGATCATATGATCGAACGACGCTGACGCCAGCCGAGCTGAGTCGTGTGAGAACGTCACCGAGTTGACAAAGGCGCTATGATTCTTGAGCGTGTGTAGACAGGCGCCACTACCCGCATCCCAGATCTTGATCGTGCCGTCGTTAGATGCGGACGCGAGCCGAGTCGAGTCGTGTGAGAAGGTCACCGAGTTGACCAAGCCGCTGTGACCCTCGAGCGTCTGTAGGCACGCACTCCATCCATCTCTCATCGGCGGCTGGATTACGATCCAGTTTGACTCTTCGTGCTTGAAAAGACCTCTTATCAGGCTACCAATCGGACTAAACATAAGTGCAGACCCATACACCTGAAGAGGACTGATTTCTATCGCGTGCTTATGATTCATAATGAATCGGCGCCCATCTCGAACTACCTCGAGTAACGCAGGCGTGGCGGTTCCTGCCTAGATTATATCAGTCATATTGAACATAGTGAGTAATGGCCAGACTGAAGATTACCTTAAGGAGAGTCTCGAGTTTCGCTAGTGATATTACCCCTGCCGACATAGCGCCGCAAAGGCTGAGAGCCTCGAGCCAGTAAAGATATTTCTTTCTGACGAAGTCCTCGACGGCGAGCCCATCCTGTAGGCTAATTCCTTGAATAGTATAAGAAAGTGAACTCCAGTCACAGAGGTGGTCGACCCAGTAGATACACGAGTAGCGTAACGCTGCTAACGGATTCGGCTCTGGCCGTTTCACAAGCTCGATGGGATATCCCAACGTACGTAAGCCGTAGATGTCTCTTCGTAGCCCCATGGACATAACGTGGACCGATCTCGAGAAGATCATGTGGTGTATCTCTTCTACCCCATGAGGGAAATCTCGTGCAGCGCCCCCTTAAGTAAAAATTCTTTTGCCGACTGATGAACGAACGAGACGGTGCGTTCACGAAGTGTCAGGAAAGAGCCACAGAGTGCTATAATCTCCGATAGAGCTTCGTCATGGTAAGAGACATCGTCAGGCATGTCGACGAAAGACGTCAGCTCATCCAACGTGACAGATCGGTAGACAGTCGAGACGACGGCCAGAATACGTTTGCAGAGCTCAGAATCCTCTGAACTCTTGATCTGGTCTATCATTCGCCCGTAGAGGGCATCGAGTCCACGCGGAAACGCCGTTAACTTCTTTTGAGCCTTCCATCCCGAGATATTGGTTAGTTCCTGGCACACCAAGGCCACCCAGAGAAACGTGCCGTCTGCGTTTAGAGACAAGTAGCGCTGAACAGCGTCCTGCGTATCATTACCATATCTGTTTCGTTTCGCCAACCAATCGACCTTGAACTGGATGTATGTGGCAACAGCTGCGGAGATCGATTTTTCGTTAAGCTCAAGAAACAGCCGTATATTCTGCGTTACAGCGTCGAGGTCCTTCTCAATACTGGGCCACTTACGGCTAGAGACGATCCACTTAACTCGAGGAGAAACAGACGACGTTTGGACGATAAAGTCTAGTAATTTTTGCAAGTCATCAACGCATTCGTCGAGTGCAACGATGACTAGGTACGTTATGTCCATGCTCGGATCTTGCAGAATGTTTGCCAAGATCTCGGACAAAGCGGCCCACGCATTCGCGTCCTCGAAGAGAGCTTTGCCTGCATGATCGTACTTTTTCTGAATATGTGAGATGAGCGTTGGCTGCTGTCCAACAAGCATATATATCAGACCTCGTAGGACGGCCGCGGCGTTGTTAATTCGCGAATCGAAAGCCTGGCAGAAGAAGTATGACAGAAGAGCCGCGTCGACTATTGATTTATGCAGCTCGTTGATGATTCCGTACAGCAGCATCGTCTTGCCCTTGCCGGGATCGCCCCTGATACATAGTAGTGGACTGTCCTCGCCGCAGCGCCATTGCTGGAACTGGGAGTTTTCGAGAATCCAGCTGTATGAATCCTCTAGTAATCCGCCCTTGGTCTCCTCAATACGCTTCTTATTATCACGGGGATCGGTGAGGCGTAAGTCCTGGATACATTTTTCTCGCTTGTCGATAACCTCCCGGACTCTTCTGAAAGCGTTGGCCCCTCCCTCACCGTAGAATAGGGGTATTTTAACGTCGAGAATGCCGAGCAACGAATATACTTTATCTTCTTTGAGCTTTGTCTGGCGACGTTCTATCCACAGAAATCGCTCATCCACACTGAACTGAGATAAAGGAGCTCCTTGAAGCGCCGGGGTAGGAACGTCTGTTATCCTGTGGATTTGGTACTGCAAAGAAACTTTGTTACCAAGCCACTTCCATTCGCAGGAGAAGAAATCGATCGAACGGGGGGCAAGAAGCTCCTGGAGCGTCCATCCCCGAGTGAACCATTTGCTTTTCCAAAAATCCGAGTCCCACGATTGTGGATTAAACTCTTTGCTGGTGCGGGAGAGAGGGCTCGGGACGTCGGATAAGTAGACGTAGCATCGTGTTGCGTTGCGGTACCAGCGAAACATGGAGTTGATAGCCTGTGAGAGTTCGGCGTGATTTGTCTTGTTGATACAACATGTGTCCACCCAAAAGTATTGTAGGCCATCCCGTCTCGCTTGTTCTCCACAGAATCGAATCTTCTCATATCCAAGCTTTTTGTCGGCCGTGCCATTTTCTAGGTCTTCGAATGTGGGCTCCTCGGTATCTTCCAGCCATCTATGCGAAAGTATCGCATAGGGAGGAATTCGATCATCGTCATGTTCGGTGAGGGAAAATGTATCGGTCTCCGCTGGAGAGCAAAAGGCGCATTGCTTCGATCAGAGTGGGCGCAATGGGCGTAGGAACGGGCCAGGCGGGACCTGAAGGTGGGGAGACTGGGGACAGAGAGACTAGAGCAATTGAACCTGACGGCGAATTTATCAGTGAGAGGCGATTGATACTGTAGCAGCAGCATGAGGTTCCCTTACAGGACGCATTCGAGGCGCCCGTACATCTTTCGGACGCCAGACCTTTCGCAGTCGCAGACAGCCACGTGGCTGAGAGACTAATTCTGGTCACGTGAACCATCAGGCATTCGGCACAATAAACCCAATGATCTATATTCGTTGGGAAGGGGTAGGCAATTCTTCTTCATTCGGGATCGTTGGCTCTTCCGACATGCGTTGAGATGTGCTTCTTGTTACGTGCTAATGTATTGGGAACGAGCTGCGGAATGCAGGATTAGTGGTGCGCGAGAACTGTGCCACTGAATAGTTCTCATCTTCCGAAATTTCAGATTGGCTGTCAACATCACCTCGACAGAAATTGATGTATCGTGGAGGATATGGGATTTCCTGACCGGTGCCGCAGCTCTTGATTGAATCGGTAAGGTCCTTTTCCACCTCGCAGTTTCCGCAATGAAAGTGATCAAGACCCAAGCATCTCCCATTCCTCGAGCAGCTCCAGCAGTCTGATATGGCAGGGGAAGCATGGGCACTGTCGCCGATAAGAACCACGCGACCACGGTAGTATGTTGAGGTGTGCGAATGATGGAACAGACCCCATTTGACGGGCGGAAATTTGGCAACGAGTTTCATGAAGCGCTCATCTATGCCCTGGCATCGGAAGTCACGGCTCAAGACAGTGGCGGCTTCTCCTGCATCTTGGCCAATTGTCTTGGCTGACTAGCCCCCCAATGAAACAGAGTGGTCTCGAGACCCTATGTGATGAAAACTAAGACTTGGCCAATCACCTCTCTCGCGAGGCTTTCTGCGATGTAACTTGAGAAAATAGCACATCCCTTTTACACTTTTTGATCCCCCTTCTCTGCCTGAAATTTTACCTACATTATCTCGGGAGAGATCGCATAAACATATTTACAAGACAGAAAGATGAACTGTTCAAGTAAAAGATGTTTTGGATTCCGACAGCCCCATCCTCGGGTGGTCGAGGCATTTCGCTCCCTCACAGGCCGACCATGGAACTGGTCAAGGGCAAATTGTGGATGAATCTCCGCATGCCAGAGAGGGCGATCCGAGAGAAGACGAAGAACTGGATTCGATTTGTTCCGCACTTGGACCATTCGAAGATGGGAAGAGAAAGTGGATGGAGGGGCAACATCCCACAGAACAGTGTGAAGGGGGGAGTTGTCCATCCGATTTCTCCCGGCAGGCTTCTTCGGCAAAGATACACCGCGCAATCCCAGGCCGCGGGCAAATGCGGAATCGTACACCAGACGGCCTTCTTCACGATCTTGGTTTCTCAATCAGGGATATTGTGTACGGTATGAGGACGCTACTCAGACAAGTTCTATGTCCATAACATCTGCATCAGCAAAGATCCATGGCTCTGTCAAGTCCAGCTTCCTCTCGAGCTCCAACTTACCGAGGCCATAGCGTTGGCATACTTGAAACCCTTCAACTATGGCCAAGCGCTTCACCAGCATGAATGACATTGCAGTCTTTTCACCAACACTACAAGACAGTAGTAAGCAGTCAGCCGTCTCAATTCTCGAGGCGTCTTCGTGTGTGAGGATGTAAGACCCGAACTCATCCACTGTGATGTGACATTCTACAGTTGTGTAGTTCTCCACACTCAAACGTGCGCTTTCATCCTCCGAAACCTCATGCACGAGTTCCAGAGACTTTAACAGCCCTCTGACACGAAGCCTCGTCATGAGAATATCGGAGGTCATTGCCTCGCCTCTCCATCGCACATCGCAGTCCAAAAGCTGAAGGTCCAGTCCAGTCGATTCCCCGGCCTTCGGTGACCAGAACGACACTCCGCAATCCCAGCTGAACCATGACCACGAAGGCACGCCAGGTATGGCCGATTTCGATGGCGGAATCGTGTCCTTTCCTGGACCATCTTCCGGTGTAAGTGCCCAGGCCAGATCGCGCGCCAGGGTCTCTTTCCATATCCCCAGAAATGACGCTTGTTTGCATTCAAGTGACCACCACTGCGTGAGGCCGGCCAAGGCAGCCAACCTGTCACTTCGATATGAGAAGTTCTTTTGGCTATAAGCGCCTACAACCCTTTGCCATGCCATCGAGGGGTTTGGATCAGTGGGTGAAGCCCGTTGACCCTCTGGTGAATGATGAGAGTCGTCCTCGGCGGCTAACCTGTGCCGACAGTCCCAGACAAACTGGTCCATCTCGAAAAACACTTTCTTCCTCGGCAGCCAAAGCTCCTGGAAAACCCATCCTCGAGTCCTCAACACCGAGGCCTTGAGGACATCCAAATCTGCCGGGTGCCATCTGAGGAGCCAAGAGTCAGAAACATTGGCATCCGCCTGGCCACGAACAACCACCGCTGGTGCTACCGAGTCCAAGAAGAGACCGCCATGCGCATCAGACGAGGCGTTTGCAACGATGGTCAAGTCGCTGCCACCGAAAACCCCTGCCATTCTGGTCGCCTCGGTCTCCCAATCCTTGGCATCTCCCTGAATGATACATAAGCTGTCGACCCAAAGATATCGCATGTCCAGAGCCGACGTCACCCGAACCGCGTCTTTGATGGTCTGAGTGAGATCGGAGTAGGGTATCCGTCGTCGATATAAGTACAGATTGGCCTGGGTGGTTTTGCTTGGCCCGCTGCTCGCGCTTCCCCAGCAGTGGCTCAAGGCGGAATACCGGATCTTTGTGGAATCAAGCAAGTCGGTATCCACTAGACGTAGATAGAAACCATCTTGACCTTCTGCAGTGATCTCGACCAATCGTGTCGGTAACACTGTTGAACCTGGGTTGCAGTCCTCGTGGGAATCCCAGCACTCATGGAGCAGCTCTTTCAGGCGCCGCATTCTGGAAGCAAAAGAAACTCGGTTCCCTGGTGTCCACAAAGGTCTGGAGCGGTCTGAAGTTTCTGTCATGGACATTTCAGTCGTCAGGTTCTGTAAGCACAGCGCCCAAACTCACCCACGATCCTGGGCCGGACTACCATCACCTCGAGCACATCAATACGGGTGTGGGAGGCGTAATAATACCGTAGAGATTCGACACCATCACGAAAAGCTCGCTTCATGGCAATGATGTAGCCTTTCTCCTCTGCTGAATCCGGCTCAAGATCCCTACGCCGATGCAGAAGTAAGTTGTGGTTCAGCGCGCAAATGTTGCAATTCGTGCTTTTTCGTGGAAGTTCTCGTGCATTGGTGTAGACACACTCCTCAAATCCCGGAGACAGGGAAGATAGTACCGTCTTTTCACGATCAGGCACAGTTTCGCTGAGCTGAAATGAAACAGCAGCTATGCAATCGTGACAGAATTGGGGCTGCACCCAGTCCATAGTGCCTATACGTCCGCTCCTTTCCATGAAGTCAATGGAAGACCATGGCCTCGTAGGCATGAGAGAGTACTTCATGATCGCCGCCAGTAGCAGGAGTAGGAGTACTCGATTGGAGTTCGGCAGAAGTCCTCCTGATTTAAGAGCACTGGCGGGGATCATTTGCGGTCCTGACTGTTCTTTGGTAACCGGAGCTTGTAGAGGTTCGGCATTTCTCGGTGACGTTTGGTGGGGTTTCGAAAATGTCGCTGTTGGATCCTGCCCGGGCCTGGATGGGACGACATATTACTCCTGCGACATTACATCTACCAACACATCGACATACTCTTACGGCACACACATCGTCGACCATACCACAGCCCGTTAAGCTCTATCTGGTCCGGAATAACGTCTCCAAGATCTTCCTCGAGGGTTATGAAGTAGCGAGTGTCCGATTTACACCGCGTCCAGCCAAGCATCATCATCGCGATTTGTTTGGTTGTGAGGTCTTTGCAACAGATCCAACTTATCAATCAAAATCTCGACAAGTGTTTCTATGCTGGGGCCGGGATCGCCAGAGCAGAGCTGGTTGCGGAGAGCTGCCAATGGTCTCTTTTTTGAGGAGCAGGAAATGTTGGATTGATGAGAGAAGGGAAACACAGACCGAAACCTTCGAATCATCGCGATACTCGGAATGCGCTTCCATACAAGATACTCAGTCTCGAACAGAGGGTCCGGCAGTACTCCCAAAACCTTGCATAACTCATTGCAACGGACAACATCAGCCTTGTGTAGATTCCATCCATCGATCAGAATCACTTCAATATTTTTGTACCCATCAGATTCGAGTTCAGTAGCCCTGTTGAGAGCACGTAGAGGGTCGGGAGTTACGGAAATGAACGGCGTGGGTTCAGGCTTGCCTTTGTAACAATCAGCAGAAGCATCAATACATTGAAATCTGCTCACGCTATAGCCATGAGAGCGTAGCCATTGTCTCAATTGCGACAAGGTCGCCTCTTCGACGTTGCTCAAGCCTACTACCAGATGCTCCGATTCTAAAATATATCCTGAAGTATTTTCGCACACGGTGCGGAAAAAGAGAAGATAATCAAATGATACTTATAATACTATATTAGTTTTAAATAAAATAACTAAGTATAGCTCTTACTTATAGTATAATTCGTATTTAATAATAATATATTAGTAATAAAAATATTATTATTTTATATAAATTACGAAAGATATTTAAATATTAAATATAAACTAAAAGAAATTAAATCGATAGTTAAAAAAGCAAAAGTTTTAGTCGATAAATTATAAGAACTATATAAAATATTATAAGAGAATCTAAAAGAAATAATAAAAAGAATAATAATTTAAGTAAATAAAAGAAGATTTAAGGGACTAGATGTAAGGAACACCCTAGTGGGATAGGCAGATAGAGTAATAGTCAATATAATAGGTATTGTATTCAGTAGTTAACTAGGAGTCCCTCAACCATCAGGTATTACAGGACTCGAAGCATGAGAGAAGCTAAGTCCTCTCATGCGAGAAGGGTGTGCCTTATAGGTGCCCTTAGGGCCTGTGCCTTCGGGCGGCTCGGCTAGTATGCCATTCCTGACAATTATCCCCCCCTCCGGGGCTTCTCGTCCTCGAGAAGTATTCTACTATCTTATCAGGTGAGAGCCATCCTCCAGGGCTTAGCAGTGTTGTATCACCCAGTAGTGTCCTTACACAGTAGTTCTCAGCCTTAGGTTGTGACCAGTAGCCTCGTGTACAGTAACCCGCAGCCTTGTGTGCAGTGACTCGCAGCCTTGTGTGCAGTGACCCGCAGCCTCGCCCTGATAAATAAGTTTTTGCAGATTGTACCGCACCCAACAAATATGCGAGAACCCGGCGAGTCTGCACAGTTCAGAGTGCTGCTTGTATCTTTTGACTCTCCCTCTCTTCTTTCCTTTCCTCCACACAACAGCAACACCAACAACATCT